CTTTGAATTAGCTTAGGTGTCCCTAGTTAGCTATGTCCCCTAGTTAGCTATGTCCCCTAGTTAGCTATGTCCCCTAGTTATGTTAGGAGTCCCCTAGTTAGCTATTGTTTTAGGGTTGGGGTTAGGGTTTAGTTTTTTTTATTTTAGAGCATCCCCTAGGTGTTAGAAGTCCCTACTACTGCTTTTTTTTCAGTCGCCATCTTTTCCAATCATGTGACATCATTTCCTGACGCGCCCACCCACTATTTCCTGGGATATGTGATCTAGAACGAGCGAATAGGAGTGGAAAAGACCTTAATCTAGAAGGGATGCTTTCCAAGCGACAAGAAAGCCCTTTCTAGCTTCAATTACAGGGTGTTACTAGAATGCGGAATTCTGCGGAATAGTCGTGGAATGTTCCGCAAGGTTCCGCGCACGTATACAACAGTGCGTGGAGCGGAACCTGTCTAGAATGCGGAACGGAACCATAGAGAGCGCCAGCTCACTCCATAGGTCTATTGGGGCTAAGCTCAACTAGGTAATTATCCAGGCCCGTAGCCAGGGTGGGTGATTGGGGTGACATGTCACCCCCCTTTTGAGTTAGTACCTTTGTTTGTTTGCTTAAATCAAACATGTATTTGTGGTATTTCATGTGCATGCAGTCCAACTTGTCACCTCTCATTTTATGTAACTCGATACTTTGTCACCCCCATTTCATGTAACTCATATTTTGTCACTCCCCTTTTTGTAACCCTGGCTACGGGCCTGTTATCTGTTTGTGCTGCATCAAAAGTTGGAGGCTTCCCCCTATATTATCAACCACTGAGAGACTGAAATTGATACCACTAATGTTTATTAGATAAATACTATAAGAAGTCGTATTCAATTTAACACAATGAAATTCACTGAGTTGATGCATGGATATTAGAGCCATGGTTGATGCAATCATTGCAATTGCTGTAAAAATAGTTCAGCCTCCTGATGTGAGACTCATTTAAGTGAATTTATCGCCATTACCAATGCCTATAAGAATAACTAGAGTGTAGCAGTATCAATACAATAGCTCTTACTTCTGGCCACAATAAGTAAACTCAGTGCTACTGCTTTTTCAATTTTAATCTCTTTGTAGTGCAGGAAAGCAAATTCCTCCAAATACAAAATATATGTTGTGCCTGCAAAGTAAATGTGGTATTAATTACATCATTTTGTTAATGGCCAAATGCTCTGTGGTTGGGGCTTAAACTTTACTTGCATTACAATGAGTCACAAAAAGTTTTTGAAGCTTTAGGTATAATTACACAGCTACTGAGCTTCAGACCTTGAAAAAATTGTGATGTAGGAACATGTATGGGAACATATTTGTGACTACTTTGCATGCAAATTGTAACACACTAGCTGTATAGGAATCTTTTTGATAATCATCACTGTCATAAACTGCATGTCAGTTAGTAACTAAACTTATTCATTTATCAAATGATCTCTTCCATATAATAGCTCAGAGTCAACAACAAATACAATCAGCAATGATTAAGAGAGACAGACAGGAGAAAACAATGAATACATAGAAAGAGAGAGTGCTAATGTATACAAGCAAAAAATGGTTACAAAAACTGAGTAATAATTAAACTAATTATCAAACCTGCTGCATAACAATAAAATAATAGTGGTAATAATAGCAACAAACAATTCTACCCTTCGCCACAACAGTATCAGGGAAGTCACGTACAATGATAGAAATTTCATCACAATCTTGATGGTTTATAAAGTTTGATTTATGTAAATTTGAGGCTGTACACATACCTTCTTCATCTCCACTTGTCATTTTCTGACTTCAGTCAGAAAATGATGAGATTAACATGGCACTCAATTTCTGAACTTAGGCCTGCAACAGGTATTTATTAATAATAATCATAAATAAAAATCATTTACCTCTGTGGTCTGTAACTATCATATTGTTTTTCAATGGGTAGCACCAATTAATGTTGTCAACTCATTCACCAATTTAAACCAATTGTTATTCAAAACATAATTATTAATGCTTGTCATTTTACTAAAATACTTTTATAGTGTAAATTTTGTAAAATTAAGAAGACAACTTGAACTGGTTTATTATTTCTTACAAGAGCCATGTTCTGTATGTTTCAGGATTTCTCTGAATCTCTGTAAAAATTCTTACACAATTACTAAAATCAGCTACCTTACGTGGACATCTATCTTTGTTAAAGGCAGTAATGCCTCTGTCAGTATACTGTTTCAGTAGCATAAATGAAGTAGCTATTTGTGCTAAATGTATTACCTTGCAAACAAACACTCCACAGTCTGTAATAGTTGGTTGTAGTTCTATTTCCTTATAATAAAGACAACAAATGCATAAAAATGGATTTGTACAAAAATGTACTTCGTCATAATTTTCCATGTATTGATACTGCTGGCTCTACTTATTTTTATAGGCAATGGTAATGGTCATAAAGTCACTAAAAAGAATGTCACATCAGGAGGCTGAGTTATTTTACAGAATGATTACTGCCAGTGGCGGTTCTAGGATTGAATTTCTAGGGGGGCCTTAATGATATGGGTGGGATAATTAGTGGGTGCGGTCAACCAGGCTTGCAGGATTTCATTTGGAAAGTCAAAATTTAGAAGATTAGGCCTCTTAAATGAGCTCCTTTGTGGTTTACACACTGTTTACACAGTCAAGCACTGCAGCTGTTTCACAGTTTACATAGATAAAACTAATTTTATACTTCACCACAAAAATTTTGGGGGGG